TTCAGCTTTCTTGTATATTTCAACACAAATCTTCATGGTTTAGATCCTAGGAAAATCTCCCTTCAACACTGAGATCAAATAGGTGGAAGCTGTCGACATGCAGTAAGGTGGCATTGAGAGGAAGCCAAGGTGGTGTGAAGGAGTTCCTGGTAAATCCACAGTGTATGTACATCATGGCCTCACTTCTCAGAAAATGACAATTAGGCAAATAATTGACACTTTTTGGGAAGCAAAATGAACCAAGACATGGGAGTTGGAAAGGCATCTGTACAGATACTGCTGGCCCCCTACAATAATTCCATATTTGACGGGCATGCAGCAGTTCAGAAAACAAGCACATTTTCTTCTTTGCAGCTGGGATGTTGATTTGCAAATGGGCCTTTATATCTCCAAATAACGAAACAAACATGTGTTTGGATTTTAAGGCAATGCCATATTGTTATAAAACATTCTAAGTGCTTGACTCTCAATTCCTGTGCTTATCTTGGAGCAGATGGTCCCATAGAATGTGAAAGGAAGAAATGTATAAAACTTGCAGGTCATGCCCCAAAAGGGGAGCCCATGTTCTCCCTTGCTCCCTTTCTCCTTCATACTCCCCTTCTTGTTGACTAGAAAGCAGCTTGGCCATGAGCCACCATGGATCACACAAGTGTGACCAACATGCTAGGATGATGGACAAACAAGACAGAAGGATCCTGGGCTCCACTGACTTCACTGAGCAAACCTGCCATACCAGCTTGAACTTTTGCACTTCTCTCTGGTTTGGGAGACTGTTACATTGGTCACAAAGACAAACCCATCTTCTTAGCAATATGTGGACTCTGGATCAGACTGTTCCGGGGGCATCTGTACACACATGGATGTCCGAGCATACAAACCAGCACTAAAAGTACATCAAAGTCCAAACTTGTCTCCACATTTGGGCAGCACACTTTTGAAATCCTGATTGGTGGCCGGGTGTGGTGGCTCACGCCTGTAATCCCAGCACTTCGGGAGGCCAAGGCAGGCAGATCACAAGGTCAGGAGATCGAGACCATCCTGGCTAACATGGCAAAACCCCGTCTCTACTAAAAATACAGAAAAAAAAAATTAGCCAGGCATGGTGGCGGTCGCCTGTAGTCCCATCTACTTGGGCGGCTGAAGTAGGAGAATAGCATGAACTTGGGAGGCAGAGCTTGCAGAGAGCCGAGATCACGCCACTGCACTCCAGCCTGGGTGACAGAGCGAGACTCCGTCTCAAAAAAGAAAAAAAAGAAAAAAGAAAGAAATCCTGATTGGTTTGGTGCCTTAGTAAAATCAGAGGGAAAAGTTGACTGTCTTTCTCTCAATGTGGGGACAGGCCAATGTCTCCCCTGGGCTCTGCCAGCCATTTCACAAAGATACACCCCAGCCATAAAAACAATATATGATTCTATGTATCCTAGAAAACAATGTGCAGTAATAAAGTGGCATAAAGGAGCATATGTTTTTTAGGGATTGAGAAGGAATTTCACAATAATGTTTACATAAAACAGTGAAGCAAATTTAGAGAAAACAGCACCTTTGCAAACGTTTCCACCATTGGCACACTGACCACTGACAAGATTCAAAAATGTGTTAGATTCAGACTGGACAAACATTGAAGTCAATTTAAAAGCACGTTTTGTTTTGGGTTTTTTTTGTTTTTTTTTTTTTTTTTTTTTTTGGTATTTGAAAACAGTGAACTGTTAAAGTCTTTAAAAAAAACCCCTATTATGTTGACAATTTAGTAAGCTCATTCGTTTACAACTGGTTGGTTGTTTTTTTGTTTGTTTGTTTGTTTTATCCCCAGTGTGTGTTTTTTTAAGTGATACCTCATTTATTTTAAGCCTGGAATAGAGCTTTCTCTGCATTTGAGCAGTCCAGGATGGAGCTACTGAGAAAGGTCTGTAACCAGTGAGATCCAGGAACTATGTGTAACCAGTCTGCATCAAGATAAGCACAGAGGCTGGAAGTTAAGTACTTAGAAAGTTTTATAGCAATATAACATAACCATGACATCCAAATGCATGACCGACTTTCTAATCATTAGTTTTCATCATATTTTACCAAAGCATCAATACTCAACGGATTTGAATTTTTTTAAAATGGCCGTTCACTAAGATAGCAATGGTCTAGTAACCAACTTGCAGATATAAAGACCCATTTCCAAATTTGCCTGCAGCTTCCTATGCCTCCACTCACACACAACTGACATCAAAATTTCTTACATACACAGGCACATTGCACGAGCTACTGCCCACAATAAAAACAAAGCGAGAACTTATTTCACATATTATTGCCACCTGACGATAGAGCAAGACTGTTTCAACAGACACATTTGCAATTCATAGTTTTATGATAACATAAGAATTGGGCAGTAATTATTTTTATAAGAGAAAACAACTTGCATTTGTGTGTGTGCATGAGTATGAGTATGTGTCTCCATCATAAAAACAATAATCGCCCCCATGTCTTCTCCATTCTGTCTTCAATTCTGGTTCTTAGGATTTTCTCCAGGTGTTAGTAGCTACACCTCTGGAAAGGGTCTTTTGTTAACACCAAAAGCATTTTGACTTATTTCTTTGGGGAAAAAAAAAAAACAGAAATGAAAGCATGCCCTCTTTTAAACTGGAAAGCTTTATTTTGCCCCTGGAGAAAAGCAGCCTGGTTAAATGTCTGAACTTATTGTTATTATTATTTTATTGAGCAATAAACTAAAGTGTGATTGAGCCACCAGTGACTCGGATATATTGTTAAGCTTGGAATCACATGGTTGAATGACTGGCTGGCCCAGAACGTGGGCGATTCAAATGATTCAGAAGACAAATGAGGCAGGAGCAAGAATGTCTCACACCAATACAAACCCAATTAACGTCAACAAAATCCTGCAAAATTTATTGTTGCTTGGCCTCTGAAAATGGTGGAACCAACTCTTTTCCTGTGCCTGCAGGGCAAATTCATTAGATGGAAAACGGCATTTTGTTAACCATGAAGTTCAGTAACATAAACAAGGAGTCAGTGCCATGGTCCTTGGGGCACCTGCAGAGGGTCAACCGCAAAGGAGGGAAGGAAGAGAGAGACGCTGATCTTGCTCTGCAATGCCCATGAGTGGTGACACAGTCGGTGTTTCATAAATCATGTCTTCTTAAAGTCACAGTCCAGGATAAAAACAGGACATCTGATTGTCATTCAGTTCGTTAATTAATGATCATATATAAAGAGAGAAACAGAGAGAAGGGAGAGGAAAGGAGAAAAAGAGATTGATATTTTGCCTGCAAGTTCACCAAAGATTACCATGTTGGTTTGTGCTTGCTTTTTTGTTTCAGTTTCTTGAGTAAGAGTGATTCACTTGTGCTGATTCAGCTTGAACCATGTTTACATCAGATGCTCTTATGCCCACAATTGACAAATCTCAGAGTGGTCATGAAACAAAACGGGCCTCAGTGGCCCCAAAGTCATCAAACCTACAATTTTGACCTCTATGCTATGTGCCCACAGAACTGGACGACGCTTCTGAACTCATCTCACCCTAAGCGCTGTGAAACGCTCCGTCACTGTGATATTTGACAGCAAGGATGGCGCCACCTCTGAGAGAACTCATGCTGCAGAGCTCAACAACATACCCCTTGTTCAAAGTAGAGATGATGGGCGTTGAAAGGGCCACAACACAGAGGGCTTTTGTGTGATCAGACTTACTCTGTGTGGGGTAATAGGAGTGTCGTCTGAAGAGTGGTTTGGCTGGATAAGACCACCAAAAAAAAAAAAAAAATTGTACCAAACAATCAAAAAGTTCAATCATGGATTATCAAGAAGACCATTTTCCCACCCACACTTGATTCTGAATTCAATCAAACCCTTAATGACTCCTATGAGGATTTCAGGGTGTTCTATCAAAACTCTGTTGAAATAGACCCAAACACAGCAAAATATTAAGGTGAAATATTATCAGTACCAGAAATATTATCAGTACCAGAAAAAGTATCTCCAATACTTTTTCTCAGTTTTTGGTCTCTTACGATTATGATGATGATTCATTTGTGCTGATTCAACTTGAACCATATTCATATCAGATGCTCTTATGCCCACAGTTAACAAATCTAAGAGTGATCATGAAACAAAACAGAACTCAGAAAGCAGGAAAGTATCTCCAATACTTTTTCTCTTATAAAGAACATACCATTTGTTGCTAGATGCAGCCCACTATGGAAGCAGGAAAAAAAATCTACTTAGTCGCTGAATCAACACTTACCATGTGCCTGGCATGGCGCAAGGCTCATGAGGTGGGATTTGTTTCTTCATGCTTTTATTTTGTTTCCATCGTTAATAGTGATCAGAGCTATGAAGAAAATCTTGGAGGGCAATGAAACAGAATCACAGAAGGGAATTTTGTTTCATTCAGAACTGGGAACAGCCTATTTGAGGGAGGACAGTCACGTGAGATTTAAAAGATAGTGGTTAAGCTACTGTGACTCCCAGTGTCTTTTAACTTTGTATTTTTACTGAGACCCACAAGAGAAATTCATAGGGGACTGCTGGTCCTGGATTTTTAGGGACAACCAAGATTGACATGTGATTAATTTTCTGAAGACAACTAGATTCTGGCCATGACAAGGGGCTTCTGGGATGAAAAGTTAGGACCACAGAGGGCCAGGGCAAAAGTGGGAATGGGACCAAAAACACCAGTAGGACCAAGAACCAGTGAGGACAGGGCAAGGGAGAAAAGAGCATCAAAGAGCAGGTAACATGGCCTCCAAGAAGTTCAGGTGCAGAATGAAGGACATCAGGAGAATATCTGTCCATTAACCTACCTGGAGCCCTCTTTGTATTCTCCTAGACACCTGAAACTATTCTGCAGCGTTTTTCGTTGCTGATTTAGGCATTACAAAAAATGTAGAGTTTCACTGCTGATTTTTCTCCAGACCATTTGTGCATTCTTGCTCTGAGAACCCCAATCCATAATCATTGTCAGCTGAGACGAAACTAGCTGCTAAACTACTTACCAATGTATTCAGTCTCCCAGTCTCCACGGCATCGATCCCAGCAGAAATGCAGATCAGCTTTCCAGGGCGAACCTCCCTCCTGAAGAAGTGAGTCTAGGCCAGCAACTGCCACCCGGAGGAATCCTGAAGTGCCCTCCAGTTGTGTAGGGTCTTGGTTGTCACATAGTGCATTTGACACAACACAGGCAGGGCTCCGTAATCTGCTGCCTCCAGCAGTAAGATAATGATGTTGTAGTTTCTCTTCTCTTCCTCTTGCCCACTAGAATTTACTTGGATCCTAGCGAATAAAGAAGGGAGAAGGGAGATCAGTCCTCCCCGTCACCTGCTAGCATCCATCACCATGTTGGAATAGTTGGGCTCTGCAGCTGTGTAGACGACAAGGTGCATACCAGTGCCACATGAGCCATGTCTCAGGACCAACCAATGGTCAGGGCACACAGCGTAAAGTGAGAGAGAGGAACCGAGGCTGGAGGGCTCAGGGCACATGTCCAAAAACTACAGACACTAAAATGAATGGAGTCCTGTTAAATAAAGTGAACTCTTTTCCACAATTTCCTTCTCTTTCTATCAGCCTTGGCAATTGTCCCCACGACAAGAAGGAGCCTAGCTGGGGCCACTCTGCAAATTCATGAGGCAGGGGAGACATCCAAGCTCGGCATATGCATGATGATTACAGGAAGAGGAAAACATCTGAACTATTTAGCATCTCACAGTTCAAATGGGGCAGTTGCTGAGACGCTGGTGCAGAAGAGACAAATGGGGTGGGGAAAATTTTCTAATCTTAATAAAATCCTTTTGCTTTTTCCAGTAAGTAAAGGAGTGAGTGATGATGTGTCTGACCCTTCTTTAATATCATCAACTGGAGTGAGAAAGACCTGAAAGAAAATATTTAGAAAAAGAGTGTTCATATTATGCCTTGCCTGTGCTATGCCTTAATACATTCTCTCATTAGCAATAAGCCAATTCCATATAAACAATGTTTTCTCAGCAGGCAACAGCAAGTTAATAAGGTACTCTTAACACTCATTAAAGCTCATATGCTTCAAGAACATGCTTAGAAATATTGTGGGTTTCCTGGCGCTCGGCACACATTTCAATGGGGAATAAATGGGTGCATGGAATACAGTGAAGAGCAAGTTCCTTCAACACGTTCTGTCTTTTCTTGCCACTGCTCAGTCACAAAGGAAGCAGTGAGCAAAGCAATTATTTGGGCTTTACCTGGAAACAGGAAAAGACCAGACATCTAAAATCGGACAAAATGTACATGTCAGAGACTAATTCAGACTTTTTTAAATGACTTTTTTTGTTACCTTGGGAAGATGTTTTAAGTTTTTATTGGAAACAAATGTCACTGTTGAGGCAGATGGGAAAGTAATCTAAATTTAGAAAATGTAAGTCATTATTAATTGACCTTAGTTATCAGAGAAAGTTTTTTTCAAAGATCTGCTAACTTCAACTCCAAACTGGACACAACTGCTTCCTTTAACTTACTTCCTTTAACTCCTCAATCAGCTACAATAACTCATATTTGAGATTGATTATATTTGCCTTTAACCAAAACTTGTTAGAAACAGCCTGGACAATTATTTTTCTTTCCTCATTCTATTTGTTTTTGTTACTTCTGTGGGAAAATGTGGCCAGTGTTTGCAAAACACCACAAGAGACACCTCCCAATTGTTTTCTGGCATTATTAACTTGCTATTGTTACCAGCAACTCTGCATCTCCACAACTACCAATAGAGTTTATTGCTTGTTTCTTTACTCGGATTGACTGACATTAATAGGGTGAAATGTAACGACTTACAGTATTTTGGAATAACAAAAATGATTATTTTGGAAGTTCTTTGCAATATTCTACACAGTTCAAAAGCCAACACCTAAAAATGTATACTGCTTGGAGAAATATAACAATTTAGTTTCAATTATAAATTAAATACATGTAAACTCCTTAAATCATTCTTATAATTGGCAACTGTAAATCAGTTACCAGGGTCTTTCAAGAATATTATTTAAAGCCATATAGTATAGAAGTGTTTTCTATTGATTAAAAATAGATGTAGATAGAGATTCCATACTAGATGCTTATCCACATCTTCATTTACCTTACTTTTTCTTTCTCTTATGAAGCAAAACTGTTTTTACAACATAGGATTGTTATTTCTAGGCTCCCCTAACGACCCATTATGATCAAAATGACAAACTTAGTAGCTTTAACTTTAACTGGTTTGGTACAGTGTGCTTAAATTTGGTAAGTAGATTCACTTCTCCATATATTTCACATGTTAAAAGGTTACTTTTATTTTTAGTAAAAATAAAATAATTGTGTTAGTTTCAATAAAATTACTTCCTTTTTCCTTTTCAACTCCTGCTTTCCTTCTTTCATTGGACATTATGTGCACTTCCAGCACTGCCAACATTTTACAGTTTCAATACCCTACTGTGAACATACTTATTTTTAATTTGAAGCAAATTGAAACACATTTTAAGAGTTGAAAGTTCACATCCTCCTTTTAAAAACCTCAGTGCACTTCAGTGTGTCACAAAGTCAGTTCTGATTACCACTGAGTTAGCAGTCAAATTATTTGTATCCAAATTAGGATTTCTCATCTTTCTTTCTAAAAATTGTCTGCGTTCTGAAGTTTTTAATAGGGAAAAAAACCCTTATTTTTATGACTGTTTCTGGCAATTAAATAATTTTTGAGACAAAGGGATACTTTGGCTCAAAAATTACTTTAAGAATAAGAAAATCGAGCTCTACTACATGTAATTTATCACGTGGCAAACAAGAAAAATAAAATACAGAATTAACTGACAATTAACTCATTAACAATATTCCTTTGTTCAGTGTCTGTTATGTTGTTATTGGGAATCCAGAAAAGCAAATCTATTGAATAGAATTTTTTTTTAAAAAAAGTTAAGTTTTATATTCTACTCTGAGATGTTCTGGCTGTACTGTCACCTGTCCTAACTGAAACAAGGGTATTAAACATCATTTTTAATATAAATACATTTCATTGTCATTTAAGTTATTATCAAGCCGCTGAAGGGCCTAAGAGTTGATATTCCTTCACTTCAAAAGAGAATATTCCCGGTGACGATGTGCCCAGCAACTGCACTCATGTGGTTTTGATTTTTATTCTCTTCTTGTCTTTATAATTTTTACTTTGATTTTTTTCATATGGTCACAGAACTGACTTAGCAGTGCGACTTTTTTTCTAATTCATTCATTTGGCCATTCTAAACCTTTCATTAAGCATCTGATATACAGTCACGTAGTTTATTTAAATAAATAGGCAGTAGTGCAGGACAGACACTGACATTAATCCCAGCTGTGTCACTACTTAGTTGAGTGAACTTGACTTTGACCTTGCTTAACCTCAATTACCTCACCTGAAAATGGGGACAATATAATGATTATATAGGATTATTCAGAAGGTGACATGAGATCAACATAAAGCACATTGCCCTGTGCCTAGCGTATTGTAAACTCTCAAGAAATAGTAGCCACTATGAAAGATAAAAGCGAGTTACTAAAAAGCTATAAAATTATACGAATTTAATTGTAGAACTTACTAGAAAAGCATTCATTATGTAAAAGAAATCTTAGAATGGAAAAAGGAGCCTTAAACATGAACATGATTGAAGACAATAGGGACTGTTTCAATATGGCCAGAGTAATACTGACATGGAGCCAGTATACTGATGTTTAGGACATTAAGCCCTTCTTGTCCCACCAGAATTCTGGGCAGCTCTCTGGGATTGATATACATTCTGGAACTTTCTAAATGAGCTGATAGGCCCCACAGTCAAGTTACCTTTGAATCCTTAGTTGTGAAAAGCATGGTGTTGGAGCTCCCAGACCATATAGTTTAGTTAATGCCTCCCCTATTTTGCTGTAGTATTTTGTTCTGAGTTATTTGTGCTTCGTTACTTTCCAATCACAAACAACTATGTTTATTTTACTCCTCCTAATGGATGTGCCATGCTACAGTATTTCTCTACTAACAAGCTTTACATCTTAAACACTTTTAGGGTATGAATTACCAAGGGAAAGAAGTACTTTCCACTCATTTGCCTTTTAGCATTTACGTTTTCTTCTTAGCTATACAACAAGGAAGAGCATTTGGTATATCCCAAGCCCCAGAACTGGGTAATGAGTTCTTTTATTTATTTAAAACATTTGCTTCACTTGTTTAAATATCAAATAAATCATTAGTAATTTCTTCAGTGTTCATTACATATTTAAACCAAGAACAAACAGAAAAACAAGTATGATCATATTGTGAGGTTTATATGATAAAGAGTAAACTGAACTCTTGATTTACCACAGAGGAGTGTTGTGCAGAAAGCATGATCATCCACTTCCACGGGTAAGTTTTCTGACTCTTCATAAAATTTGCCAAGCTTTCCTCACATCATTAAGGTAAGAGTCAAATTCTAATGCAAGAAATCATTTGTTTTTACCTCAACAATTGTATCTTGACTTTTACTTATAGCCATGTGAATGTCTTCCAGTCCCTATGTCTCTCCTCAATCAGATTAAAAAAGAAACAGAGAGAGAAAGAAAAAAAATTCCCTTTCAGTGCATCCCCACAAAGTAACTCATGAAGTTCATCATCTGTGAAGGACAGAAAAGGCAAATTAACAGTAAGACTGAAAAGGGAACAGGCGGCATCTTGACGTCTTATAGAAGAACTTTTGGATGCGCTTCCTTTCGTGGTTCCCAGGCCCAAGTGAAAGTTCCCAAGCACCTTCTTAAGCAAGTTTCATGTTGGGAAAGTTTAATGTTACGAGTCATGTTGATTATGTCAGTTAATTTTTTTAAGCCTAAACAAAATTAATAGCATCATGCATGACTTACAATAAACCCTAATGAAACGCTCAGAACTGTTTAAAAAGCTGCAGCAGGTTTTTAAGGAAATTGGTTGCCTGTATTTACTCTTTGAATTAAGTGTTAAAGGAAAACAGAATAATAATATATAAAACCTGGGTTTCCTGTAACAACAATAATTATGATAACTAACATCTGTATATGGCTTTACAGTTTGCAAAGTGCTTTCTCATACATTACCTCATTTAGCGGAGTGGAAATGTTTAATGATCCCAGTTCCAAACTGACTTTCATTAATAGTATATATGTTATATTAATAAGCACATTTAGAAGAAACTATCTTTATAAGCACTCTGCTAAGTGTGAACAAAAGGCTGATAAGGAGATGCTGAAATCCAATATCAACCCCATAAATCAAATAAACATCAAATAAAATCTGTCAAACACTTCATAACATTGGGTGCGTG